AAATCACTAATTGCGCCTGTAATGCTGTCCTTACAAAGAGTTTCCCACATTAGAAATTATAGTTTGAAAATTTTAACCTTCCAAATCGTAACGATAACATGATTATAAGACGAAGAGAAGAATTTATTAATAAATATAAAGTGTTCCATAAGGGTCAATCGGGGAATGAATGGAACCCAAAAACAAAAAAGAAAACTGATATGAAATTGATGTAGGTCTGGAAATACGTTGTTTTTGAATTATCACCATTTTTATGTTGAAATTTCAAATTGTTTTACTTTGAAAATTTTTTTGTCAAAGTTAAAAGAAGAGATGACCTTCATAAGTTTTATAGCATAATTAACATCAAATAAAAGTTGCAAGCTACTTTAACACAACATAGGATGCACTGTGTAAAGATGCAGCCAGCTTAGTATCTAATCAGAAATCAAGATTCCACAGATGTGCATCTTAAATAATAAAGCAGCTCAACTTTCATTTAACTTTAATTATATTATAAAATTCATAAAAATCATCTCTTGTTTTCAATTTAACAAAACAATTCAAAAGCAAAACTCAACTTTCATTTAACTTTAATTATATTATAAAATTCATAAAAATCATCTCTTGTTTTCAATTTAACAAAACAATTCAAAAGCAAAACAAATTTCAACATAAAAAAAATTTTGAAATTTTAACATAAAAATAACTTGGAAATAATGTATTTTAAGATCTATGTTCATATCAATTTTTTTCTTGATTTTAGGTATACTAGGCGGGTTCTAACCTAAGAACTCCGAGGAGGGTGCGGGTGTGCGAAGGAAACTCATAGGCGCGAGGTAGAAGAAAGGGAGGAACTCGTAGGCGCGGAGTAGAGGAGAGGAGGGAGGAGACGCTTCGTCAACAAGTTTTTTAAAATATGCCGCCAATGGAAGGGGAGAGTTTTTTCTTTGAAAATGTGAGGACAGTTCTGTTTTCTTTTTTCTATAAGAAGCGAAAAGATGGTTCTTCGACTTTTCTCAATAATAAATATTGAAACATGTTCGTTCGTGTTCGGTCAAGTTCAAGTGTCTCACAAGTAAGAGACAAATCAATTTTGGCAGCGACGCGGAATGGAAACTATAAAAATGAACAAATTCAGTAAAAATATTATCCTTTATTGATGTTAATAATCAATGTTAATGATTAATAAATAATATCCTATAATAAATACTGAGTTTCTTATACACAACAAAAACTTTCTCTTTTTTATGAGAATCACATCGAAACATTGCCAAACACCCTTTAACTCATGGCAGAGACTTAACTTGATCAACTCGGCATATTATTTCATTTTTAAAAAGGGAAATAGCTTTTTGATTGAAAAATCACATTTTTAAGTGTGAAACTTTCTTTATTCACATTTTTTCTTTTTTACATCGTCTTTTTATCATACATACTAAAAACTAAAGCTAACAGTTCGCAATCAACGAATTAATGCCTATCGAAGATATCGTTATCGCGTATCATGGTTGATACTTCTTCGGGATTTGTTACAATAGAAGTGATGTTGGAGAATCGCGTATACTTAACATCGATCGTGTCGATGAGTCTGACTAGTCAATTGAATATTACATCAATACATTCGGTAATTAAATATACGACGTAGCGTCGATTCGACCATCATCATGTGTACGTTTAAAGATTCAAGATGTACGAGTGTAACGTCGTTCATCATGCAAACTCGAACTGTTAACGGTTAACTATTAACGACGTTTATAAAATTGTCTTTGTAATTATTTCGTAGCAATTTGTAGATATTTCATTGTTGCTCATAGAGTCCCTTTCACGTTTCGAGACAGTATCAGTTTCTGTCCTCGATGATCTCCTAGGGCGATCTTCATGTAGCTCGGTGAGTCAACGTTCCAATTTCCAGAAACTTGAAGCTTGTAGCTGTCAGGGTGTAACGTCTGCTTAGTAAGCGCACCGCGCGATGCTCCATCGAAATGCTGTGTAACGGAAATTAAGTACATAATATTACGTAATGTTATGTAAAGAAAAAAGAAACAAAATAAAGAAACAAAAAAAAGATGTCGACATTTATACGTTATGTTCTTTCTTCGTTTCGCCATCGTACGATGCGCTGCTTCCTTTGGTAGAGTACATTGCGTGGACCGTTCGCACAAACGTTTGATGGAGGACTGATCACATCCGCGTAAATTTTGACATAGTAGAGCGTTAATCCTCCTCTCTTTCAAAAGATGGAGGGGATGGAAAAGATCCAATAAACGGCAGCACTCTACTATAGTATTTCGTGAACAAGCGTGTTGGTAAAAAAAAAGGCAAAGAATCGTTCAAGTACAATTGCAAACATCATATCGAGAATAAGTTTACTATTATAGTGACCATAAACAGAAAAAAACAAATGATCACGTCATTATCAATTAATTGTCAGATTTTCATTTCAAAAAGGCTAAACCAGCTGTATAAATATGTAAAGTGCCATGTAAAAAAGAAAAAATGCGAATAAAAAATTTCGCTTAAATCATAATGCAATTTCTTTGTCGTCGACGAGTCTGACTGGTCAGTTAAATGTTACATTGAAAAAAATATATAGAATCGTTGGAATATTAAGTAATCATCATCATCATCAATGTAATGACGAGGAAAGGAATAAAAAAACGTATTTTGTATATTATATACGTTTATTTATGGTTATCTGTCCACCAATTGAACAATTTGAATACATTTTGTAATGCGCAATTAGTATAGTGATATCCACATATAATATTATCAGCGACTAAATTGTTCAAAGAGTCGTCGTCGTCGTCGTCGTCGTCGTCGTCGTCTTTTTTCGTACCATGCACAACTTTCATAATCAAACTCTTAGCTTCGCTGTATATGGAACCATTCCGTCGTTCCATCGCAGTCTATGGTAATGATGTATCACCCAGCGTGCGGGAGACTTGTCGGCACTTGCGAGGAAATGCCACGGTATAGAACTTGCGAAAATGTAGTGAGAGAGAACGGTTCGTTGTGTACCGATAAGTGATATATCAAGTTAATAACAAGATGTACGGAAGCACAAATACATGTAATATAAAGCAGCATATCTATGTTTGTCAAAATCTAAATCATCGTAGAGATCATCATTCAGATCATTGTACGAATAAAATTCTGAGTTTAGATAAAATTTTATGCTATCAATTTATAATTGTCGAAGCCAAATTTATGTGCATTTATGTTATTTTTTGTTAGTCTGTAGAATAAAGATGACGTATCATGGCTTCTCGAACTGAGTCGCTTGATAACCCAGGAATATTTCGTCGTGTTCGGCAATAAAGGGTATTCATACAAATCCCATGAATCGTCCGCTTTCCAAAATTCGCAGCATGAATAGTTTATTAACTTCGTTCAACATAACGTGAAGCATTCGCCATTGTACTTTGAATAATTCAAGTGTTTCACCGCAGGATCTTCTGCAAGGCAATTGTTATCATTGCACGCTCATATCAAAATTAATTCGTGACGAGCGTTAATTAGCGACACATTTATAATCTTCGCAAAAGCCAAACAATATGTTGAGCGGTACACAAAAATTAAAGTATCCATCTGCTGTCGTTAGTTTTCACGTTATAGTCACTTAAGACAATTTCAGCATTCCACAGAGTTATAAAGTTATCATTTGACAGCGATGGATAGCCCTTTAGAAGAGTATTTATATTGCGATCAATCTCTACACCATTGAATTCATATCGAATTTCGTCAAACCTGAACGCGACGCAATTATTTCCCAATACTACATCAGATCCGTCAACCTGTTTGTTTTTCGTTAAACTTCCTTCAACATAGAGAAAACTTTCGGACGGCAACGCGTACAAATCTTGCTGTTGTATATTCTTATTTCATCGCTATGTCCAAATGTCGTATTAACATGTGGATTGTATGTGTGAGTTTCTATTTTGACAATGTGATCGTCAAAGATCAGCTGATCTCCAATATTCAAGATACCGGCTATCTTAGATAGCTCGTACAATCCCAGTGATTTCAAAAATTTAACGTTTGACGCTGAGTTCTTTCCTCTTATTGTGTCAGATGAACGAGTATTATCAATCGGTTAATCTTTATAAAGAATGCGTTATCTCTCTGCGCGTGCTTCGCTTCGTTCAACACGAGCATCTCAAATGTCAGGCTCGTGTTATCGCTATCGCTATCGTACGTGCAATTTGACGGTGATCTCTTTTCTAAACTCGAGCAATCGTCCGTTCAACAATGCATATGGTTAGCTCTGTAATGCTCCGTACGATGACTGGTGCGTAAATGATCTGCATCGATCTTTCTGATATCTTATATCCTGGCGGCACGCTCGGCAAAAATTCGTGTATCGTATGCATACTTTTGTTGTTGCTATACGCGCCCGCCACGTTGCACTCTACACGGATAACGTTTACATTCATTATGTTGATCGACATGTCCGATTCATATCATTTTCGCGGTTGCAGTATACGCTTCGACGAGAAACTCAACAACGATCCAATGTTGTTGGGCTTGTTAAGTTTTAGTTTATTCTGTATTTAGTTTAGTTTATTCTGTAAGCATATTTAATCTCGCATCTTATCGTGTTGTAATTTGCGCGGAGCACTATCGGGTATTCTCGTCATCGCCGCGCTCAATGTCAC